GAAGCAGATTTGTGGGTTTTGTGTTAAGAAAGGTTTGGCTATGGAGGGCATCAATTTTTTGTTTGAAGAAAGAAAAATAGAGTGAAACTTTTAATGGGGTGGGCTCTATAGGATTTTTACAAGAGAAATTTTCATAAAGCACTATCTTTTAGTAGTAATTAGCTATCTATAGATACCATTTGCTATATTACGGATTATAGATACCTTTTCTGTGGTTATAAGTTGTATTTGATGTATTTAAGCTATTGTATTCATGAATACAGTAGCAAAAATAGGCGTGAATCAGGGAAGTCCAGCTAATTAGTTGTTGTATTCGAGTGTATTCGACTGTATTCATGGAGTGAAACATGGGATTACAGCTGGACAGATTATTGTATTCGACTGTATTCACGGCGTGAAATAGGAGATTACACTATTTTTAAAACGGAAAGTGAATCGATTAACATAATATACTCCTAATATAACTCAACAAACTCAATTATAACACACAAATTTTGTATTGTCAGTTATAAAAAAGATTCTCAACCGAAAAATACCCAAAAACATAGCAATCTTCAGAGAAATTATATAATACATCTAAATACATAAATTATATTAATTAAAAAAAAATATGAATACATTCATGGCATATAGCGAGACAGTGAATACAATGAAATACATATAATACAGTGGGATACATTGAAATACAATGAGAAAAAAGACAGTGAATACAATGAAATACAACGAGATACATTGAATTACAATGAAAAAAAGATAATGAATACAATGAAATACATGAAAATACAGCATGATAATGTTCTGTAATTGTAATTGCAACGTAAGGACGAAGAATCTGGCTCTCTCTTAAGGATGCTATCAAAGAGAAGTTCACAGTCCTTGATAATGTTTAATGGTTCGAAGTTCTTGAAGGCAAGCAAGGAAGATCTTCTGCAATTGTAATTGCAACGAATCCTTGTAATTGTGGTTACAGGGGATTTTTTATCAAAATCGATCCTTGTAGGGTTGATTTTTAGGGTCAGAGGGTTTGATTATGGATCCGGAAGTGAAAACGTACTGTAGGAATTTTAATGGGATGAGGAAGAGAATGGGATGTATCAAAGTAGAGAGAGAAAGAAAATAGTGTAACTGATTAGCGTATTTAGTGGCTTAGGGCTAGGAAGTAACCAAAATTAAATATTTTGCTATAAACCTTAAAAGGTATCTATAGAATATAATTTTTTCAAATGGTATTTATTTAAAATAAATAAGGTATTATCCTTTGCTATATGAGGTAAAAATTCCTTTTTACAATGGGTTGGTTCGAGAAATAGGGGCGGATCTCTTTCTGGGGCGGGTTAAATTTGATCCATACAAGAAAGTCACGTGGCCCAATTACGTGTTAACAACATATTAAAAAAGGGACTGCAGATGGTTCCGTTAGTCGCGGGGGCAATTTTGGACCAGAAGATAATGTTGCATGTATTTTCGGGCCAATAGTTGGACGAAGCGCGATAGTAAACCATTTACCAAACGATAGGGGTATTTTTAGCCCTTTTCCGTTTTAAGTATATCAGGTTCAGACTCTTGTGAAATGAAAAACTTATCGGAAGCATTTTACTTTACCATTAAGAAGTCATTTGGAAAGGAAACAAGTTATCCCATAATTAATTATCCTGGAATTAGTTATACCGGGATTAGTTATCCACCTTTCCATACGGATGAAAAACAGTACAATTTCGTAATCAGTTATACCACGATTTTATCCCAACCAAACGTGGGATAAACTCATCTCAAATTTAATCACGGGATTAATTATCCCTTATCCCTCGTACCAAACGGGCCGTAAGAAAACGAAAGAAATCCAGGTAGAAATGATATTATATTAGATACATTAGAATTTAGACATGTTTAAAACCCACATGGAGAAATTAATCAGAGAATTAGAATCAGGAGGGGTATATCTTATTACATCTTCAAAATAATGACAAAATGCTCTTCGAACAAGGTTCTCCAAACCACCAAAATGGCACATTTTCATTACGAAGATCTCGATCTACTAACGTGGTTCTCTTTTTTCTCGATACTCAATATATTTTGATTAGAAATTACATTAACGACTCAACTAACTTAAGTATAAAAAAACCACTCTTGTATTTGTTTTTTAGAAATTTTATTAACGGCTCAACTAACATAGAGAATGACCAATCTATCTATCAAATAATAGAGAGATAATACTTAATACTTAGTTAGTATCCAAAATTTTCTCCTCTTTTTTTATATACCTATTTTACATGTCTTCAGCTAGATCCTTTTTTCGAGTACTATTATGTTCTGCCTATCTTATCATATCTTTACATTTTCATATACTGTAACATGTTTTCCAAGGTGTTAGTTTGCCAGTTTTCAAGCTTAAAATACAAGATACTGTTTATTTTCTAGAATATAATAGTTGAATGAAATAAGAGGAATCCAGGGAAAAAGATGTAAAGGGAGGAACCCACTCCTAGTATTTTGTATACAGTACTCCCTCCGGTCCACAATAAGTGATCAATTTGCTTTTGGCACGTCCATTAAAAAAATATTAATTCTATACTAAAATACCTAGTATGACTAAACTACCCTTAATTAAATATTTAATGTGAGGAGTAAGAAAACTTTTTAGGGACATGTACATAAGGGTAATTTTGTAAAAACAAATCGAATTCTTTCTTGATTATATAAAGGGACAGTTATTTTGGACTAAAATAAAAAAGTAAATTGGTCACTTATTGTGGACCGAATGGACTAATTTTTTTTTCGATTTTAAATTAAAACGTATCATGACAAGTGAGATGTTTCTTTCTAATTGCTATCCTTATCCTAATCTTTTTGCATTAACTAAAACTAAAAAGCATAAAAACGTATGCTATAAACCTTTCATGGTAAGGAGTAAACCCTTTGAATTTATTGCAGTGTTTCCTTTTAATAAGCAACTAATTAACTCGGAGATATTTATTAAATTTAAAAATTGAAACTAGCAAATTATATTAATTAGGCAAACCAACCCCAATTAAAGTCTGGCCCGCTAACAACTACAAATTTGACCTTTAATTATGCTTACCACTTAAATATTTTGTTTCCTTATCCTAGCCCTTTTTTGCCCTTTAGCCACCGAAAGATTTTCTTTAAAACAATTATTCTCCCCAAAAAAATAGCAAGCAAAATTTGCATATTAATGTATATTATTCCTATTTTATAATATTTGACTAGCAAGTTATAATTATTTTTGGCCGACTGGGCAAATAACTTGCTCTTATATTTTTAATTCCTTATTTTAGTTTATCATAGACAAACGAAAAGAAAAATGATAGGCTCGAAGATAAAGCACTTTAAAGTACTTTATTCTATAGTCTATTCCATTAAAAAAAAAATATAACTAGGTGTATTATGACTTAATGAATTTTGATCTAGTGCATTAATTGGGAACTTAATTATGCTTTCCATTTATTATGTTCCCATACTTTTTTCCCCTTAGCTTTTTGCCCTTTTGCCACCCAAAGAGTCCCTTTTAAACAGTCATTCTTCAGACGTGGTGACAGCAATTTTTGACCTGAAAATAGCACCTTCCTTTTTTACGTATTTATCCCTTTGTAAAACCTAAACGTCTTCTTTAACCTTTAACTAATAATTACGATTTCCACTTGGATAAGGCTTTTACCCACCCACCCACCCACCCATTACTGTTTCAGTCCTTATTTCTGTAGGATTATATTTCTTTAACCAAAGGTTATAAACCCTATATATATAGACCCCCCTCTTATCTCTCGGAATCACTCTGATTTTCCTCACCAGAATTATACTTTTCAGAGATAAATATATATATGCGTTATTTCAGAGTTAGAATATGAGCAACGTTCCAAGATCTTTAACAGACTCTTGTTTTACTCTCTTTAAATTAGCCATCTCCTCTTCTGATCCTTGGCCTTTCTCTCTTTCACCTTTCTTGTAACCCCTCTCTCTCTCTCTCTCAACTGTACAATCTTTTTTCAGATATCTTTGTTCTTGTTTTTGTTCGTTGAATCTTGATTAGTACACAGATGGGTAGCGGAGAAAAACATCATCATCTGAATTTCCATATTCACATGCCTCACATTAACTTTCATCATAATCATCATGGGAAGAAAGAATTGAAAGATATACCAAAAGGGTGTTTTGCAGTTATGGTAGGTCAAGGAGAAGAGCAACATAGGTTTGTTATCCCTGTCAGTTATATCAACCATCCCCTGTTCTTGCAGTTATTGAATGAAGCAGCGGAAAAATACGGATTTGATCATAAAGGTCCAATTAATATTCCTTGTCATGTTGAAGAATTTCGTCATATTCAGGGCTTGATTGGTAAAGAAACTGCACATCATCATCATCATCACCACCATAATCACTGGTGTTTTAAGGCCTGATAATAGTAGTAGTACTTTTTGACTCGGAATTTTCAGTGCTCAAGTAATGTAAATTTCTAGTATTGCCTCGAGTCTTTTTAGGTTTTTTTGTTTTGTTATTTTACTTTTTTTTTTTATATGATCTGTTCCAAGATATTCATGTACCCAAAAGTGTGGTGAAAGATTATGAACTATTTGGAATGATTTTCGTAATACATATATTTTTTTTCACTAATTCAGATTCATTTGTGGAATTTAATGGGTTTGTTGTTGTCTTTTGTTTATTTTCTAGATTCAAATTGAATTTTACTATTAAAAGGGACATTATGGTTCTCATGTTCTTTTTATTTGCTCGCCATGAATTTGTTCTTGCCTTGAGTGCATCTCCTCGAGAGGAGCCTTACCGTAGCTGGTATTAGCAACGGATTATCAAGAAATTTTGCTAGCTACAAGCATTTTAGCGACAGATTAGCGACGGCGTTCGCAGCTAATTCCAATTTTTTTTGTAGTGCCGGCCCTTCCCGACCCGCGCATAGTGGAAGCTTAGTACACAGGGCTGTTTTTTTAATGTATGGCCAAAAAAGGAACATGCCTTTACAAATTAGGCTTTCTTTTTTTCCTTCCTATATTTGAGGTAACAATACAGTCTATAAAGATAAGCAACTAGAAAGAGTAAATCTTAATATCCATTTTTGTGTACGAGGTGCATAGCAACTAGACACATGTATTGCCAGATTACATATATGTCTGAGTTTCTCAGTTTCTTTCTGTTTCTGCCCTTCTTTTGTCCCCTGGGTGTTTAGGATACTGAGTGTTTGATGAAATATGCTTCTCCACAAAGAGGTTTTTGGTAGGGAAGTTCACTGATTAGGATTGAGGAAGGTAGGTCCCCAGCTTCTTATTGCTATCTACATTTGTCCCTTCCTTTAATGTCGACACCTTTGTCACTTTTGCACACTAAAAATCTCAAAATATGGCCTTGGTTTATTCATACTTGGTTTTGTGATTTTTCTATGGTTCAACTTTTTTATTTCCTCTTTCATGTAATGTATGTTTTTGGCTGCATCTGTTTGGTTATATCTTCCAAAAATCTCGGTTTCCTTTCTATTGGGAGATAAGTTCAGTGGATAGATGCAGTATTCCAATTATTTCCTGGTACTAAGATGAGTATTTTATTACTAGTAATATTTAACTTTGCTTTGAAAACATGGTTCGTTTATTTCTTTGAAAACAATTTTCTTGAGAAGTGATGAGAAATCCTCCCTTTTTCTTTTTTAAAGGGACTTATCTTTTGGTACACTACTAAAAAATAGCAGGATTGCGACCGATAATTTTGGAGCAATGGTAAAGTTATTTCTGTGTGACCTATAGGTCACGGATTTAAGCTATGGAAGCCGTCACTAATGCTTGCATTAATGTAGGTTGCCTATAACATACTCCTTAGGGATGCGACCTTTCCTCGGACCTTGCGTGAACGCAAAATACTTTGTGCACCGGATTGTTTTTTTTTTTTTTTTTTTAATCTTCTAGTGTTACCATAGAGAGATTTGTGTATGAATCCAGCTAATGATTGTTTCTTTGTTTGTAAGTGAATGTTCCACTACCCTAGGGTGTTTATGGATTTCATAATTGATCATAATGTGAAAGTGAAGATTAAAGTAGATTTGTCAAGAAGCATGTAGGGCCATGTGCAGAAATATTTCTTGTGCAATTAAGTTTAACAATCTTGAATAAGACGCTAGATTTTCTGTAGTTGCCACAACGGCAAAGCTGAACTGTAAACAACTAACTTAGAATAAAGAAAGTTGAATGCTCTCCCTCACACATGAGAAACTTAATAGATCCCACTCATTGCGTTTAAGACTTGTAATTGGATGTCAAAGAAGCATTTGACTTCGGAATTTTTTTATATGTATTTCTCAAAAATTTTGACTGGGAGTTACTAACCGTATTGTGGCTCTCCAGTTATAAGTCATCCCTTTAAAATTTAAAATAACTCCTCTATGCTACCAAAGGTTACGGTGGAATGGAAAGGATACCTTTATCCTTAACAAAAGGTCTTGCTTTCGAGCCTTGGGATAAAAAAACAAGGAGCTATTACTCTTTTAATGGTCTTATGCAATACAAATCCGAATTAGTCGGGGCCCTAATATGAATATCGAACATAGGGTGAAAACCCCCTAAAAAAATGTCGTCTACTACCAAAAAGATTGGCAAGTTTTGCTTCCCCATATCCATCTAGACAAACTTTGATTAACAATGTAAAATATATTGTTTTACAACAACAACAACAAACCCAGTATGATCCCAACAGGTGGGGTCTGGGGAGGGTAGGTTGTACGCAGACCTTATCCCTACCTAATGCAGCTAGAGAGGCTGTTTCCAATAGACTCTCGGCTCAGGAAGGGTAAGAAGAAAGGGAAAGCAAGGGAGGAAGAAAGAAGGAAGCGAAAAGAAAAAGGGAGAGATAAATGATAAGTAATACCAAATAATAGCAACAGTGGATACAATACCTGAGACGAACAAAACCACATAACGTAAAAATCTAAGAATATGAAGGGACATACATGCTACTAAGACAATCGGTGAACAACTAAAAACTACCCACTAACCTTCTACCTTAGTCATCGACCTCCACACCCTCCTCTCAAGCGGTCATGTCCTCAGTGAGCTGAAGCAGCGCCATGTCCTGTCTAATCACCTCTCCTCAGTACTTCTTAGGCCTACCTCAACCTCTTCTCAATATATTGTTTTATTAATTTAATTTGAGAAAAATAGAATCTTATAATAAATTTTTAGTAAGTATCTGAATAATATAAATTTCAATTTCAAAGGACATACATTAGAGGACATGTTTCACGAGTGGCAGCTTGGCTTTTGGAACTCTTTAGGTGATTTGAATTGTTGTTGAAACACGAGTTGAGCTAAATAAAAAAGTATAATAAAAGTTAATGCAAGTGGGCAATTGGATCAAACAGTCGAACCATTCGTTCTTGTCGTCGTTGCAACGGGTAGAAAACAATATCTGTATATTTTTCCAAAGGGGAATTTCCCTCATTAATGGGAAAAAGTGCCATCCTATCACATTCAGTTCCTTTACTTTGGCTTCTCCTCATTTCTTGTATGTGTCGTTTACTTTTATCTTCTTTAAGGGTTGCCCCAGAAAAGTATATTATTAAATCAATATAGGAAATAATATCTATAGACTATATTGGACACCTTATTATATTACGCTCTGCCTTTTGGATTCAAAACAGTTCTGCTTTTTTGTTTCGGTTCTGTTTTCATTTTGGGTGTATTTGAATATAATGTTTGCATAGATTATATATATCTTTTTAAAATATTTTCTGTTAACTAACCCAACACCAGAAAATAAGTAAAAGAATAATTTATTTTCCAAGAAAATATTTGCCTTCCGTGAAAAATATTTTTCTTCGTACCAAACACACCCTTAGTTTTGTTCTGTTACATGAACAGCTTCTGGAAACAACGTTTTGGTTGTATTTTGTTTTTCAGATTATTTTCTGAAACAAGGAGCTTATAATACATGTTGTTTTCGTATCTCCATATATATATATATGCATACATTTCATGGTCAGCGTGACGAGAACAATAACCAAATCCTCTTTTATGTACACTTGCGTGCACATTCCAGTTTGATGCGCATAACGATTGTAAGTAGGAAAGAATGCATAGAAGGTTGATGTGAAACAGAATAAAAGAATAGAGATAAAAGTCGTTTGTTCAAATCTATTCTTTAAAAACATACTTCTATTATGCCCTAAATGATATATAGAGCAACGGTACGACGTCATAAGCTCCAAAAATAACAATCAAAAGTGTTAGCGTAGCAGTCTGGATTTAAATAAGAACACCACTTAAGGAATTGTCGATTCAACGTTAGTCGTTAGAAAGACTTTCTAAGATTCCCATAATCCCATACATTACTTCTTCAAGTAGTTGGGAGTTTATACGAGAATCAACTACTGATATATTGTTAGTTTCGTAGTGGTTGCTTTAGTTGAGAGGGGAAATTCAAATGTTGTTTTCCTTAACCACCTGCACCTTACGAAAATAAAACACATACACACTTTGTGACTTGTTTGGCAGATTCAAAGAAAATCCTGACCCTCACTGCATAACTCCTCACTCTTGTTTTTTTCCAGTTTAGAAGATTGTAAAATAAGCCTCTAAAGAAGGAAGTAAAATTTCACCAATACCATAATAGCTAGACTAGGAGTATAAGAATCTTCTTTTTATTTGGGTTACGTACATCTCATTAAAGCCATCAGGAAAGTTCCTGCTACAACCCACAAGGACAGGAGCAGGGTAAAGTCTAACCACCAAATTTGGAGCAGATTGACTCAAACTTAATGTTGTAGCTAGGGGTGGCAAAGGGTCGGGTCGGGTCGGGTTGGGACGGATATAAGACGGGTCGAAAATGGGTAATGCAAAAAACAGATAAATTATCCGACCCACCCCATATTTTATACGAATAAAAAAATGGGTTAACCGGTAGATAATATGGATATCCATATTATCCATGGTTTATTTTAATATGATCACTTTTGGAAGAATTCATAATCTCCAAAAGTTAAACCCATTAGTTATCCATTGGTTATCCATTTTCTAAGTGAATAATATGGTTCTTATCTATATTTGACCCGTTTTTAAAAAGTTCATTATGTAACCCATTTATAATAGATAATATGAGTGGATAACTGTTTTCTTTTATTCATTCTGCCACCACTAGTGGTGGTTCAAACATATAATAATCAGGCTATTACTTCTATGCCTCAACCACCAAATCATCCCTTTGAGGTCTTTCCAGTAATGAATTATTGAGGCACAATTAAATTACTGTTTTGATGATAAACGTGATGGAAAACACTAAGATTAGTTAGTGACAAATCAATCTGGTCAATGACTTGTACATTTCGGCCCCTAATGGACCATTCCAGTTTTGCTTGTTGCTTTCATAACTACCGGCGTGGCATACTTGGGAAAACGTGAAAAAAGGCGTTACCTCCATCCAAACAACCTTCAACCAGTATTTGCAAATTACCACTAACGGAATGTGCTAAGCCAAAATAA